AGGACGCTGCCAGATTGTTCTAGACCCCAGCTCTGACTCTCCAGCATTTATACCTTGCCTGATTCTCTGTTTCTGACCTTGGATTACTGTTTTTGACCACCGTGTTTTGCCTATGCCCTTCCAGTTTCTGATTGCCTGCAGTGTACCGACCTTCTGAGTTATTCCCCTTGACCTCTCGAGTTTGGATCTCCTGGCTATACCTGTCTACCGGTGCTGACCCTGGACTGTCTTATCGACCTGATTGTGTATCCCGGACTGTGTATTGATTGTCTAGTTGCTACAAGTAAAAACCTTCAGCTAAATCAGTTCGTCTGGTTTTATAATTGAGTCCACCACAAACACCATTTGGCGTTCTTACACGTCAAATCTGACAGGGCTTTGTCTTTTACTTAAAAAAGGTGAGAATGGTCATAAAGCTTAATATCTGTACATTTTTACCTTTACCAGCAGTTGTTTCAGTTTCAGTAGCAGCAGTATGGCAGTGGAACAGTGGGCTAGTCAAAGGAAGTTCAGATAGCACATTTTATTCACGCAACAGACATTCCAGAAAAAAAATGTGGTTTGAGTAATGGGAGGCCTGTGCCCCAGTAGGGCTTTATGTGTAGCAATGCCACTGGGTGGGCCAAGTTAACCACCTGCTGGAGCCTTATATTTACTGTACAGACCAGAGCAGCATTGATCTTTGCTAGAAAGCAAATAAGCATTTCCAAAAATGTGACTCTATGATGTTGAAATTCTAAACACTTGTTCTAAAGCATCTCGCATGTTATTTAGTAACATATGATGAGTGTTCTCACCTGCCCTTTGACCCTGCTCTCCTTCCTCCTCTTCTCCCTCTTCATAGTCCACCTCCTCTACCGCTTCCTCGTCTTCCTCTGCCTCCTCCACCCTCTCCTCATCACCCTCCTCCTCCTCTTCTTGCTCCACCTCTACCTCCTCTTCTTCCTCTTCCTCTTCCCCCTCTGCATCCCCTCTCTCCACCTCCCCGTCTTCATGCTCCATTTGTTCTACATTGTAGTCCATGTAGCCTTCCATGTCCTCCTCCTCCTCCTCCACTTCTCCTTCTTCCTCCTCCTCTACAGCTCCTTCATCCTCCTCTTCCTCCCTGTCATCCATCTCCTCAGTTCCGTCTGTCTCGTAGCACTCCTCCATTGTGGAGTTGTCCATATCATCAAGGTAGGTGCTCCTCTTGGGGGATGTTTCCAGGGTTTGTCTGTCTAGACTCATTCTCTTCTTGGCCACAGGGCAGCCATACACACTGCAGAGGAGAGATAAGAGGGCGTCCATTAGCCATTAGCTGCACCTGGTCATAAAAGCTAATGCTCATTTGCACTCAGGCCTCTGTGTTAAAGTGCACTGGTTTACAAACTACACTTGAAAGGAATGCCATGCATACAACACCAGAGGAACAAGGGCATCTTAGTGCAAGGAAAACAATGCCTCTTCTGCTGGGGAAAATATCAAACTTTGCTTAACCAACCTTAATTAGACGTGTACTCATTAACTGTTGAGCAATTATAATAAAATGCTCCATTTCTTCTAGGGAACAGTTACAACAGGATCTCTATCTTTGAAGCAAACAAAGCAGAAGATCCATTTTGTTTTCACATTCTTTTATATTCAGGTATCATCAAATTGTTCTTGGGCAAAAGACAATCATCGTGCATGCTCTGCATACACTTTGCTCCAGACTGATATGCCCTTGTTCTGATGTGAACCAAGTGCAGAAAAACACAACTGCTTGTATGGATTCAACTGTAAGGGGGGAAAGACAACCTGTAGCCTGATTAATTGAATCTTGACAAGGCACCTCAGGTTTTATTGTATTCTCTGGCTCCCCTCGGCAGCAAGGAGACAGATCTGATAATCTGTATATTCGCTCAGGCTATTGATCATAGGGGCTTAATCCATTTCACTCATCAGACCGCTGAGAGCCCTGAGCCACAACCTGGCCCCCAAATGTAAGTTGCATGTGTATGACTTTAAAAATGTGTGCTGCTGTTTGTACATTTATGTATGAGTGTGTGCATGTGTATTATTGCTGTGTACACACATTTGAACAAAGGCACCCACGCAGTCAGAATTATGATGAGATCTGCTGAGTGTTTTGGCCATCAAATAAACCTGCTGTCCAGGCTGGAGTGTAAGAGAGCTAAACACGCTTTGGGCATGTTCACTCGGCTGTGAAATATCCCTGGCTCCTATTTTTACAACCTCTGGATGTTTCCCCAGCTCGGCACTACTTAGAGTTAGACCTGATGTGAATGAATGGCACAGGGCTGTGTGTGAGAGTAAGAAAATGGTAGTTGTTAGTCAGTGTGTGCTGCTTTTGTGGTGGAGCAACTATGGAAAAAGGCTCATCGCAGTGGTTAGGTGCTAATGGTCTATTGTATGATGGTGGATGGTAATCTTAGAAACCCATTTATGTTCCCTTCTTATGTCACTGAGTCCCACATTCAAATATTCTATCCATCCTTCTCTCTCCCCCTCTCCTCAGTCCCACATGTCCACATCAGTCAGGGTCCACTCAGCTGGAAGGTTCAATCTTACCCAGCCTGGAGATTCCTTAATGGTCTGACCCCTGCACCTCCTGCAACCAGGGGGCTCATTTCGTTAATCTAAGCCCACATGGAAACTCATTCCCTGCCTGACAGCCAGACCTTTCCCCCAGGGCTGTGCGGGACAGTGAGGGTGGGGGAGGGAAGGAGGGAGGTGTGCGCTGCGGCACTGTGATCAATAGTGCTTGTGACCAAACATCTCAAAAGCACATTAAAATGCCACTCATCCTGGCCCCTCTGTTCCAGGGCCCTCTCCAAATAAATCAAGGGCCGGTCCCAGCAGGTTAGTGGTTGCCAAGGCAGGCAGGCTGGCAGGACAGCGGGACAGGTAAGTGAGTGGAAGGAGGGGGAGTGGGGAGAGAAGTGGAATGGGAAAGGTAGATAGACATGGCCCCTCACCTCTCCTCTCCCACTCAGTTCTCTGCTCCTGCTTCTCTGCCTTTATCTTAACAAATAAAGTAGTCTTAAGGCAGCGTTTGCTGTCGAGCACTGAGACACAGCACACATGGGCTAACAGGTATTAATGTGACTACACCTGAATCACTCTGAAAATAGTCTACAATTGCTATAATTGCTTTGCAACATCAGCTAATGACAGCAAATAATAATACATACTTGGTTGTGTATTTTTTTCATTGTATCTTTAAAAAAGTGCATTTCATTATTTCAGGTCAGGATAGTATCAACAAAGAGGTCTTTAGACAGCAGAGTGGACATGATTTAAAACCTGACTATAGTCAAACACATATTTTGCACCTTTTTAAAAGCTCTTGCTCATTTAAAGCAGCTGGATAGCATCTTTATGACTTTTAATCACACTCGTGTTATGAGGTGTTCCATAAAAAACGACTGGAGTCTCAGGTGGCCTCCTATCCCTGAGATGTCAGGCTGTTGTGACAGTGTGAGAGGTGTGTTTGCTCCGACACTCCTGAGCCACGCGATGACTAAGCCGCAGAAAGCCTCTACAGCTCCGCCATCCCACGTTCCCTGGCTCTGTCGCTGCGTGACCTTGGCTACAACGTTCGTCATCACAGGCACTGCATCCCACTCACTGCACTTGGCAATTACAATTGCAGAAATAATTAGGTGGCATTTAAATTAAAAGAAAAGAAATTCCACAAACATTATGCAGAGAGAGGAAGGGGATGAGAACATCCTCTAAATTTCCCTTTGCTTCGCTCCCTGGCAGAATCACAAAATCCTCCAAGAGGAGAGTGAAGTATGAGAGGTAGCAATCAAAGAAGAAAAGAGCTTCAGATCACAAAATGACCACTTCATATTTTATGGAGTGGGCATCTTCAGCATTATAAGATGGAACAAATTCTATTACAGTGTGAACAAGTGGCCCTTTAATGCTGAAAAAAACCTTCTGGAAGCGTTTCAGAGAGGCTCCCATTCCTGGAGCATTAATGTGAGGCCGGAGCAGGAGAGCTCCCGTTTGGCTAATTTTGGGTGACAGTTGAGTGACTGCTGGAATGCGATGGCGTTCCACAGCGCCTTTATTAGCAGTCATATTAGTGGCTGTTCTCAGCAGGGGCAAAAGCTTTAGCCAGTCATTAGCATCACATGCTATTTGTCTCCCGGACACAGGAATGAGGCTGCTGTTGCCTCTTCCTCTGCTGCTTTTCTCTTCCTCTCTCTCTCTCTCCTTCGTCATCTTCTTCTGTCACCCAACATTCTCAGGTCATATTTCTCCCTTGCTGTTCTCACCCATAATAACCTCACCTGCTCCTTTTCCTTCCATATGTTCACTTTCTCCACCTCCTCCATATCTTAGAGGACATATTACATTAATCCTTCTCTCACACCAATTTAGTCTTTCCACCTTTTATCCAGTTTTCTTCTATCACTCCTAAAACCTTAGCTCATTGTTGTCTCTCCTCTTCCCACAAAGCAGACTGGAGATGGAGGGAATGCACCATCTCTGGCTTGGATCCCTATCCAGTAGGAGGATCTATAGACACATGTGGCAGAGCCCCCGTCTCCATGGTGATACCCTCCAGAAATCCATGAGGGATTTGCAATACTCACAGAGAAAGAGAAGGACAACCAGGCAGGGAAAGGTGGGGAGGAAAACAGAGGTTAGAAAAGAAACAGTACACACATGCATGGCTGCATGTGTGTACTGTATATATTTTTGAGTGTGCTAAAAAATTGGGAAATGTATAGTAGAGAACTTACAAAGAAAAGAAGTGTGTGTGTGTGTGTGTGTGTGTGTGTGTGTGTGTGTGTGTGTGAGAGAGAGAGAGCAAAGAGGATCATTTCAGAGCTGTCAGGCTTCTCCTGCTAGCAGGGGGAGAACAAAAGACAGTGTCTTGGTGCAGGAGACTCAGCGCATGGCAGATGCTGCAATTTGGGGCGTTTTCTGGCAGCTCAGGCTCCAGCTCACATATCAACTGCTATGGCTCACACACACACACGCACACACACACACACACACACACACACACACATGCACACACAGTTTGTCCTAAAACTCATAAAACATTACTTCATTAGTGTGGTGTTGAAATAATCCTCAGTGTCAGTGAAACTTACAGTGCACAGATGTTTGTGTGGGAGTGTTTATGTGCAGCAGTTACATGTCCACTTTAATTTACTCTAGAATCTTAATAATACAAGCAACACTGAAGTAAAATCTCCTCTTAGTTAGATATTTGCACCAGGCAACAACAGATTCACCTTTCTTTGACAAAACAAGGGTCAGTATATGTTAGACAGTGAGTGCAGTGGTAAGCTAGCACATCAGTACCCACCAGACATGCTGTTCAGCTCACTGGTTCAAAGCCTGATGTTGTCCATTCACTGCTCCAGCTCTAACTTCTGTAGCCTGGAGATAATAAACTCAGTCTCAACTTTAGTCAGATACTCTGCCCTTTGCATTCCCTTGATTTGTGTTGTTAACACATGCACCTGGTTTTACCCAGGCCACTGCTGCTGTCCTTACACCCTACTGTCTGCCTGGGCTCCTCTTCATCCAGAACCCAGCAAATGCCTTGGAGTGCATGATAAGCCTCACATCCGCATCTAAGATACAGAACCCACTGTAACATCAACATCAGTAACACCTTTGTACATTTTATTCTCACTCCCTGAGCCCATACAAGGCCTCTGCTGCTCTGCTTTAGCTGCTTTTGTCCATATCTGCCTAATGCTTGGGAGGCCAAACACCTCCTCACAGGCTGTTTGTGTGCCCTACTGATAGTGTGCCCATCAAGGAGCTGGAGTGTACTTGGTGATGGATGTGAGAAAAAGAAGATCGTATTAAAGATGGGATGAAACAGATCGGGACTGCTCAGATATCAGGCTATTTTGTTTATAGTGCAACACCAGATGCTTATACACTGGTATAGAGCTGAAACGATTATTGACAACTAATTTGATAATTGACTAGTTTTTCAGGCTTTTTCCAGTTTACAGGCCAAATATTTTTGCAGCTTCTGAAATAGGAGGATCTATTGTCATTTTGTGCTTTGTTATGTCACGACAGGCATTTTGAACTGTTTTCTGTTTTATGTACATCAAATTGATTTATCAAGAAAATAACTAACTGCAGGCCAAATCTGCTGCAGTGGGTTCTGATTTTAGTTCCACAAAATGTATAACACAGGTGTAAACAAATGATAAGTACATACTGTGACCACACAACACTTCAATAATGATTTGTGAAATTATTAAGCATTTGTGTCTTTGGCCTGTT